ATTATTATTATTATTATTATTAACGACTGTCCTTCATTCACTGGCCTCATTATATATACTCCCTGTATAGTTCATTTATGTTAAACATTATTACAATTAAAAAATAACAGTTTGAATGTATTCTCAAATGTGTCAGTCAGTCAATCAGTCATTTTATTATGGTCCTCACAGACAACGTTTCACAAAACTAAATAAATAAACAGGCTAATTACCAGAAAAAGGTGTAGGCCGAAGCCGTGCTTATTATGCCTACCCTTTATACATAATACAAGATGAACAGTGTCGTTCATTAGTTACCAAATTTAGTGAAAAAAGTTACATAAAACATTTCCCAAAATGTACATACATAATAAGAGAAATACAGATTCCAGCTATTACTTCAATATTTTAACTAATACATTCACAATTTATTTATACTGAGTCATATAATTATTTATCACCTTTGTTATGGCCCAAGCCTTGTGGGTTTAGTGTCTATTGTTTGTTTTTCGTTTTTGGTGCCGATTTGGTTTGTCTTTCCTTCCCGAGGTTAAGCGCACCTGTTTCGGTGCTGGCGTCAGATGAGGAGCATGACGCGGTGCTGGGCTGAAGCCGTGTGATCGCTGCGGTCACTGTTAAGCTCTGTAAGGCCGGGCATACACTGTACGAGCAGACCGCATGCGATGTAAGGTCAAAGCTCACGATTCACGTGCTCACACTGTACCTGTGACATACTCGAGTGCGCAGACCATGACACGTCTATATGGATAGCCAGAGATGTCTAAGAAAAAAGCATTAGGCGATATCGAGAGGATTTGTCATTTCCAATTAATGGATTAAATTATTACCATTGCTATTATTATTATTATGGTACTTTTATTATTACATTTACAGGTCTACTACAATTCATTTGGCCAGCAATAATTTCATAGCTCATTAGGCTACCGCACAACTGACGTGCGGATTGATTAAATTCGTTTACTCCTCATTGAAAATGATTTAAAACATTTAGATACATTACACAATGAATAGGCCTATAGCCTGTCCGAACACTATAATCAGTAATCAAAATAAGACCTTTATTAGCCTACAGACAAAGACATTTCAAAAACAACTTGTTTAACACAAAATACTTCAA